AGCCGCTCCTCGGGAAAAAGACACAGCTTTCTACTCCTGTAAACAGTCAGAGTCTCGGAAACCCAGGGGCAGGTCTGCCCTGTCGTATAGGGTCACTATGAGTTGGACTGACTGGATGGCAGGGAGTTTGGTTTTTGGTTTGGGATAACATTAGTGTTATGAAATCTGAATGGAGACTAGTTTTTCATTGAAATTCATTAATGATTACCTCACTATAATGGCTTCTGTACAAATAAATTAAAAGTCTAACACAAAATAAAAGGAAAAGGAAAAATCCTAATGTCCATGATTCTAGCATTTTAGCCCAAAGGAACCTTAGATGATGCTTCCTGTGTCCTGTGAGTGGGACAAGAGGAAAATCAAGGGAAATAGAGGAAAGAGCTGGGAGGCTATGTTCATTTTCTATAGTCTTAGAAATCACAGGCCTGGAGGAAGTTAAACAGCTGCCTGTTTATACATCTAATATAAACCAACAACCTCAAAGAGTTTATAATCTCCTGAAACACAGGCACAATCCGCACCCCCCCTAAGAATTCACCTGTCCTATCCTTTTTCCAAAATTAGTTAAGATCTCCAACTTCCAACCAGAGTTATTCAAATAGACCAGCACAACCCCCACCACCCCCACCACCCCGGCCAACTTTGCAGTTTTCTATTAGACCAGTCAAGGTGTTTCCTCCCCCCTCCCATTATTCTTCATCCCCATCAAAGCTCCATTCAGCTTTCAAAAGGTGTGGGGAATCTGAGCTCTCTGTTCATTGCCAAAGCTCTAAGCACTCCCTTGCTAGCTCACCTCTAGAGTACAAAGGCTCTCCTGCATTGGTCTCCTGACTTCCAGCCGCTCTTCTTTACACTCAGTCTTTTCCTGTCTCTTCTTCACATCATGTGGCCCACCTGGTTAAGATCCTTCTGTAGATCCCCACTTTTCTGCAGGATGAAGTCACTCTCTTTGCTGAGCACTCATCCTCTAGCTCTAACCTTTGCTGACTGTATTCCCAGACCCTCCTAGGATACTCATGCCTGAGTCCTGGCCACCTGTGCCCTCCTACACACCCTGGCTCAGCTCTCCTGCATCCGAAAGCAAAAATGCCCTCTTCTCCCCCCTTCTCCAGCAGGCCCACCACAGCAAAAGCCACCCTTCTATTCTCTGTGTCTCCACAGCTGCACGCACTCATTGCAATTATATGTGATTACTTGGAACACTACATTAATCATTCATTTGCCTCATAAGCTTCTGGACCTGGGTCTTATCCCTGGACTTTTTAAGGATAAGGTCAGGACTTAATCTTAGCATTTCAAGGCCTTGGCAGAGCTATTCCATACAGTCAGTGAAAAAAAACCAATGTCCTAGCCACTTTTATTCATGTGATTTTTTTCTGTAAGTAAAGATTACAAAATTAGTCGAAGTATTTCAAAGTAATGAAATTCACTAACACAAGTTTTCTTTTAAAGGTTGCCCAGCAAGTTATTCTTCTTTAATAAATAATAAAAACTAAAATCTTCTTTAATTAATGATTTCTGCTTCCTGTTAGAGATTAGTCACAACCCTTTGCTTTAAAATACCTTTTAAGATAATGGACACTAAAGGTAAGATGAATATGTCACTTAACGAAAGTAACTGTAGTCATTACCATCTAAATCATTATTGGATGCCAAAGGAATAAATCATGACTTATTTATGCAACTAAAAGGTCACACACAAAATAAATTGAAAAATCTGTTCATACATTTTCCTGTAACACATTGGCATGAGACAGGAAGCTAGTACTACAGCGCATTAGTTAAGAACACAAACTCAGGAATCATGATGCTAGTTGTGAGCTTTGTCTTTTTTTTTTTCTTTTTTAAGAACAAAGTGTTTTTATTAGGTATTTCTTATTTGTTCCACAACAAACATTTCTTCCCTGACTTCTCAAATATTGACGGCTATCTTTTTCTTTCTTACTCTTTATTTGTACCTTTATATTATTATTTTATTCTTGTCATTTTATCTTGTTTTGGTTTTTGGATTATTTGGGAGGGGGGTCCTTTTATTTATTTATTTTTTTAGTTGTGAGACTTTAAACAAACTACTTAAACCTCCCTGGGCCTTGGTTTCTTCATCTAGTAGCAAAGATAAGAAAAGCACTCACTTACTAAGGCCTCCACTCATGTACTCCTTCGATGCAAGAATACTTTCTTCTATTAAATTGGCATCTGATGCTCCCCTTCCCGAGTTGTATGAGCCCCTAATAAAATGATTAAAAAAAGAAAAGCACTCACCTCACCAAGTTGTTAGGTGAGGAAAGGAGCATAGATAATAATCTGGGCACAGTAATAAGTGGTTAACCCTGGTGGTGCTATGCAGTCAGCACCGGCCTGCGTTCAATCCACCCCAAGGTGGAAAGATGAGGCTGTCTGCTCCCATAAGGTGTACAGCCTGGTTAACCCTAAGAAGGCATTCTGCTCTGTTCTCCAGGATCACTATCAGTCAGCATTGACTCCGTGGAAGTCGATCTTGAGCAGGTAACATGACTGTGTTAATTTTTTACAAAGCCTTGTTACTTTTACATATATTGCCTTTTAAAGGCATTTACTGCAATTTTTTTTTTAATTGGATTGGGCTAAAATGACTTTTTTTATTGGGGGCTCTGACATATTATAACAATCCATTAATCAAGTACATCGAGTGAACTTGTACAGATGCTGCCATCATCATTGTCAAAATATTTTGTTTCTACTTCAGTTTTTAAGGGGTTTTCCCCCCACAACAGCCCAATGAGATTATCTGAACAGGAAATGATATGCCCAATTCAGAGATAAAAACACAAAATTAAAGAAATTTAAAAAGCCCAAACCCTCAGCCATCAACTAAATTCCAACTCCTAGTGGCCCTATACATGGTTTCCAAAGCTGTAGATCTTTACGAGAGCAGAGAGCTTCATCTTTCTCCTCTGCAGTGGGATGGTAAATTTGAACTGCCAGCCTTGCAGTTAGTTCAAAGCTTCGACAACAGCACCGCCAGGGCTGCAAAAGCAAAGTTATATCATTTTCCTAAAACATTTTATGTAGCGATACCAGGAAGGTACGGGGAAGATGAGGGGAGAAAAGGGGAACCATTCACAATGATCTACATATAACCCGCTCTGCGGGGGATGGACAACAGAAAAGTGGGTGGGTGAAGGGGGACATCGGTCAGTGTAAGACATGAAAAAATAATAATTTATAAATTATCAAGGGTT